TACCCAGAAAAGCATAGCAAAAATGAAACCCATTTTTGTGATCCTTGTATGGACCCCTACAACAAGCAACAAACCATTTCCAAAAAGCGCGCCACGACCTGAAAGACCTCCCTTGTCAGTTCATGCACCAATGACGTTGGCGAAAACCGTCCAACCCCAGTAATCGTGCCCTCTGCCTTTGAAGGGCTCCTTCTGTCTTCAGGTACAGACTACGATTTTCAAATCCGTTACAGTAATACCAGTAATTATATACAAGTAATTCGAAAGTATTCGCCGAAAGTTTGCCGGTTTTATTGCAATGTTATCAACTCTACTTGTTCCTTAAGGCGATGCAACGGTTACGCATCAAAGTGGCCGCTGAACTGGATGCCTGTACAAAAGCGAAGTATGAAATTTTGATCCGTGGATTCTTCCGTATCTTCTTCAGACCATCATGGGAAAGTGGGCCGCTGTCAGGGAACAATGGTCAGCTCATCATTTATAAATCAAAAGCTAGTTCAGGAAATCAGGGAGTATAAAGTACAAAACTGCGCTTAAAATTAGGTGCGCAAGATCAGCATGTGCGCAGTATCCCCTCAATTTCCGCTTACACTTATAATCTTGATCCATTGACCTTGATCATTTCTCTCTTTTACACAAGCGAATCAAAAACGATACCTTCAACACTTATCAGGGGCAGGTGTGGTTAGTTGAAGGGTTTCTCAAAATTCTAGTTTTCCCGTTGTGATTAGTAGTGACCCCTTATTTGCAGAGTTATTCTGCTTGTCTCAGCAGTCTTGCTGAAAAAGGTGTACAAGGTGGAGGAAAGAATGATTCCCTGAAACTTGTGCGCTTAGCTCGAGAATATTGAGCTGAATGAAATGACCGGTGATTGATCGTGGGCTAAAAAAAGTGCTACATCGCACGAATTAGGTGATCCCCTCAAGCCAACCAGACGTCCCCATCCCTCCTGATTGTGCAATGGTATGAGTACCGGGAGAACAGGAGCGTAGTGTAGAAGGGCGCCTGGCCCTTGAAATCACTGTGTATGCCAGATCATGTAGTAAGATGCCTCAACAGTTTTAAATGGAAGCCGAGGGCGTCACACAGTTTCAGCAACTTTATCCACATCTTATGGAAGAGATTGTTGAGAAAATTCGGTTTGGTGTATGCAACGCCTATGCCATTTTGCAGTTCGTCATAAGCTGACTTGTGCTGTTCTGTTAATGAACACGCGCTAGCAAGAGGAATGAGCCAAAAGGCGGGAGCCCCCCTCCGAACTGAACAGAGATGCGGGAGCCCCCCTCCGAACTGAACAGAGATTTCTTTGACCTGGTCGCTCAGGTTACTGTGAAACATTTGAGCATTTGAAGCGCTACTGTGGCAGTCGGATTTTCACTGGAACTGTCTCTTTTGATGAGAAATTGAATTTCAGGCAGGGATGAAGTAGGGTATGAACTTCAGGTGCAGTAACGGATCGTGCGAATCTCATCGCTGACGGTGCAAATTCAAATGGTTCATATGGTGCGGCTGGAATTGAGGCACCAAATACAGCCATAATGGTAACGATGGTAACTAATGAACGTCTGGCTTCAAGAGTGGAGGTGAGTATTCCATTATTACCTTTTTCTCTCTAATTTATTTCTTGGTTTTATTTCG